TATTAATTGTAAACTGATGCTGATGTCTAGCTTGTAATGTACCCAGGGGTTTCCGATCCGTCCACAAATGTCTGTTGAGTAAATTTGTTATTCCATCTCTTCGAAAATGTTGCCTCATCGGTAAACAAGACAGAAGAAAAAAATGAATGGGACGACAATTTGTGCAAAAAACCATCGGCAAAAGTTGACCCGTGGAAAGTGATCAGAGGGTGAATGATACTGCGCACGTTGTAAAATGATAAGGATACCGGAGCTGCACTTGAAGTACCCGCCACAGGGTACTATGAGAGTATGATATGCTAGGGTTACTTGACGTTTGTTGATACCTGGAGAGTTTCCAACAGCCTGCAAAATGTTTTCTTCGTGGTCAGGCATACGAGTAGATTTCGATCGTGCTTGAAACATAGTTTGTAGTGGCAGGTATCTTGTCTCGGCAACATGACGATAAACAGCAACAAAGACTGGATGATTCGGCTGCCTTTCATCAACGTGCTCTATTACTCTTCGAGCAACCTTATGCTAAAATCAGATCTGCCTGATCACGATATGAATATCCTGCCATTGTAAAACGAAACAATTCTCAGATAACTCACTACTGCCCACGTTAAACGCTGAAGACAGTCTAGCCACAAATGTACACGAATGACAAATATAACCTAGTCTACATGGCAACACAGTACCATCTACCGTAAACTTTCTTTAAACATAATAACACAAAAACGAAGAATTTGCGGACATATATTTACATGGACATTTATTTGTAAAACTGTTTTTGATACGCCCTCCTCTCTCTCTCTCCCTCTCTCTCTCTCCCTCTCTCTCTCTGTATATATATATATATATATATATATATATATATATATATATATATATATATAGTCTAGCAAAAACACAATGCATATTGCCTTCTGATTGCGTTGAGTATTTCAATGTCCACTTTTATATTTACATATGGTCTATGCTTGGTATTGAGTATTTTAATCTATATCTATAGTATACCATAAAACTATATTTAGTCATTATATATATATATATATATATATATATATATATATATATATATATATATATATATATGAAATGGACATACATCGACAATTATTTTAATATATTTATTGTTTATACGTACAGATATTTAAATCACTGTTCTGTTTATAATAAACAGTATTAACAATATTTACCTGCCTGAATGTCCGAGAAATCTCGTAAAATATGTGTCCTCCGAGAGAAATCAAAACTGCATCCTCCCCGAACCGCTATATAGCCTGCCGTGCCATACCAATCACCCACTGTAGCTACACGCATCCCCTATATATATATATATATATATATATATATATATATATATATATATATATATATATATATAAAAACTTTCGCCCCAAGCAAGGCAGGAGTGCTGTTAGCACGCATGTGATTATAGAGGGTAGAGAACAAGATTAAAGAGGCCTGATGTTTGGGGAGAGGTTAAAGAGAAGGACGGGGAACAGAATAAAGGTATTAGAAGATGTCGCTTGACATTACCTTTGGACTTTTGAGTATTATAGTTATCAGGGAAGCAAATAAGGGGAAGGGAATTCCACAGACAGAAAGTGCGGGAGAAGAAGCTGTTTGCGTAGAAGAGACGGCATTATATATGGAATAGCTGGTTGAAGTAGAGGATTTAAAAATAGTTTCTTCTATTCGTCACGGTGGTAATTGGGGCTGCAAATATATTTAGGTGTCAAATAAAAATATTAACATCCTAGATTTCATTTTATTGTTGTCATGAGTGTAAAAATGTATGAGGACGTTTTGAAATAACTTGGATATAAGAATTATAAAGAAAAGCTGTTTAAAACATCATTGTTTACACATTACCACATTCCAAATGATTCTACATAAAGAAAATAACTAGAAGACGATATTTAATCAGAAACTATGAAGAGAATATACAAAATCACAAATACGTGGGTGGTATGAAACATTCATACATTGATTATGAAGGAATGATTCTAGAGTTGTGAAACCTTGCATGCATTAATTTCTTCTCTTCTTATTAATAATTGCATTGTTTCTTTCTAGGTACAATTTTGGGCTGAAAAGTTAATAGGTTGACTATTAAAGAATGATGCTAAAACTGTTAAATCTTGTATTTCACCTCTTCATATTAATAACTGCATCGTTCCTTTTTCGGTAAAATGACACCCGACTGTTCAAAGAAGATTTCAAATATAACTATTAGCGACTTTTGAAAATGGGAAGAATTTGGCATCGTGGTGTTATCAAATACCTTTAAAAATGTTTGGCTCATAAGAACATTCATACCGACGTGCTTGCTACGTTAGGTGCTGATGAATTTAGGTGAATAAGGAAGAATCTTGAAGATGACCCAAGCTCAAGACATCCTGCGATTGCTAACACAGAGGAAAACATTGATCATCTTCACCACATAGTAATGGATGAAGGGCGACTGATTATAATTCAAATAGGCAATACTATTAGCATATTCCGGGATATAGTTGAACATTGTCTGACAATGAACTTGACATGACGAAAGTTTCTACTCAATGGGTGCTACGTCTTCTGACACCAGATCAAGATCGCAACAGGGCATAATCAGAACAATGTTCAAGCACGAAAATCCTTGGTTTCAATGGCTGCTATGCTTGACTATGACATATTAATATTCTGTTAACTATCATCTGTTCCCCAACATGAAAAAGAAAACAAGGAATCTGTACCTAAGTTATTATAGCGTCATATCTGACGTTGATAAATCTTTTGAACAACAGGATGAACAGTCTTCTTTGAAAATTTAGATGTCAGTTTATCTAGAAAAACAATGAAGTTGTTAACAAAAAGAGTTGAAATTAATGCATGCAGAACTCAACGGCTGTAGCATCAATATACCATAGTGTTAAAACTTGACTAATGCATGGAATAATAATGCAACACAAAATGTTAAACAAAATGTATTGAAACAAGAAAGTGTACAATAACATATAGTCTTTGGATATTCTTGGGAAGACCGTTCCTGGAGAATGTGTTGACTTAGTCGCAGTCACAAAATCTCTTGATTCCTCCTCAATCATCCAGTACCAACCATATTTATATGGTCGGTACTCCACTACTATTAGGTGGATCCTAACCTTGGAATATTGAAACTTGACTAATGCATGGAATAATAATGCAACACAAAATGTACTTAGAACAAAATGTATTGAAACAAGAAAGTGTACACAATATTTACATATAGTCTTTTGGTATATTCTTGGGAAGACCGTTCCTGGAAAATGTGTTGACTTAGTCGCAGTCGGCAGGGTCTCTGGACTGAATCTCTTGATTCCTCCTCAATCATCCCGGTACCAACCATATTTATATGGTCGGTACTCCTACCAAACACCCGCCTCCCAAGCCTTGGAATATTGTTGAAACTTGAAACTTGACTAATGCATGGAATAATAATGCAACACAAAATGTACTTAAAACAAAATCCAAGAAAGTGTACAATGTTTTACATATAGTCTTTTGGTATATTCTTGGGAAGACTGTTCCTGGAGAATGGTCTCTGGACTGAATCTCTTGATTCCTCCTCAATCATCCCGGTACCAACCATATTTATATGGTCGGTATTAGGTGGATCCTACCACAACACCCGCCTCCCAAGCCTTGGAATATTGTTGAAACTTGACTAATGCATGGAATAATAATGCAACACAAAATGTACTTAGAACAAAATGTATTGAAACAAGAAAGTGTACACATATATAGTCTTTTGGTATATTCTTGGGAAGACCGTTCCTGGAGAATGTGTTCACTTAGTCGCAGTCGGACAGGGTCTCTGGACTGAATCTCTTGATTCCTCCTAATAATCCCGCCAACCATATTTATATGGTCGGTACTCTAATAAATTAGCCTACCACAACACCCGCCTCCCAAGCCTTGGAATATTGTTGAAACTTGACTAATGCATGGAATAATAATGCAACACAAAATGTACTTAGAACAAAATGTATTGAAACAAGAAAGTGTACACAATATTTACATATAGTCTTTTGGTATATTCTTGGGAAGACCGTTCCTGGAGAATGTGTTGACTTAGTCGCAGTCGGACAGGGTCTCTGGACTGAATCTCTTGATTCCTCCTCAATCATCCCGGTACCAACCATATTTATATGGTCGGTACTCCACTATGCAAATTAGGTGGATCCTACCACAACACCCGCCTCCCAAGCCTTGGAATATTGTTGAAACTTGACTAATGCATGGAATAATAATGCAACACAAAATGTACTTAGAACAAAATGTATTGAAACAAGAAAGTGTACACAATATTTACATATAGTCTTTTGGTATATTCTTGGGAAGACCGTTCCTGGAGAATGTGTTGACTTAGTCAAACAGGGTCTCTGGACTGAATCTCTTGATTCCTCCTCAATCATCCCGGTACCAACCATATTTATATGGTCGGTACTCCACTATGCAAATTAGGTGGATCCTACCACAACACATAGCCAGCCTAGGAAATATTTATCCCACCCTCGTAAAACAAACCACATCATATGAATATTTTCTAACGTAAAAATGAAAACAAATTAATGGAGAACTCGTAACTACAATATAAAATAAAGATATAAGGAAGATGGTAAGTTTTTACACTCTAGAAAAAATGATAAAGTTTAGAATGGAACGCCATCAATTCAAGAAAGACTGATGCAAGCAAAGTTCTGGGGTTTAATTCAGGATGTTTTTTTGTTTTTTGACGAAAAAGATTTTGCAGATTTCAAGCGATGTTAACCCGATAACAGTTCCGTCCATGAATGGCAAATGTTTATTGCATGGAAACGGTTAATTCTACGTCTATATTCTTCCACAACAGTTAACCTACGTCTATACTCTTCGACAATCTATCTATCTATCTATTTATCTATCTATCTATCTATCTATCTATCTATCTATCTATCTATGTCATTATATCTGGCTTAATATATTAATCTCGATTCCCTTGTCTCTCGCAGTGTTCCTCATTGTGTGGCTTCGGCATCCAGAGGCGCCATGTTCAGTGCAATGCCGGAGAAGAACATCTATGTGGAAGAAGTTCCCGCCCTCCATCCCAAAAATCCTGCTTTCACCCACCCTGTGTTAACACATGGCACGTTTCAGAATGGAGTCAAGTAAGTGATTGTTAATCAAATAACAATGTTCATTAACACGCGAGATTCTTATAACTGTTTTTGTGGCAGATTGACATTAACATTTAAGAATTAAAATCATTTTGTTGTTTCTTTCTTTTAATGTAATGTCTACCATGCGCCACAATCACTCTCTTTTCGTTTTCTTGGCTTGGTTGCTTTTTCTTCTTTAATAATTTGTCTTGAATTCGCATCTTTATTTTTATCCATCATGAGGATCTTTCTTTTTTTCCATTATCTATTTCTTACATAGCTTTTATTTTCTTGCTATAAACATTGTTTTAGAATTAAATTTCACTTTATTTTGATTTCTTGACTGACAATTTTTCTTTTTCTGTTTTCTTCCTTTCCTTCTTTCTTTCCTTCTTTCTTTCTTCCTTTCTTTCTGTCTTTCTTTCTTTCTTACCGTCGTTATTTATTTATTCTTTTCTTTCTTTCTATAATATATATATATATATATATATATATATATTCATTCTTTCCCTCATAGTTTATTCGTGTTACACACCCTTTCTTTCTTTCTTTTTAATCGTAATTCATTCTTTTGATTCGCTCTTTCTTTCTTTGCATCGTTATTTATTTATTCTTTTCTTTTCTTCTCAACTATATTCATTCATACTTCCCATTATAGTTTATTCGTGTTAATCACCTCTTTTTTCTTTCTTTCTTTCTTTTCTTTCTTTCTTTCTTTCTTTCTTTCTTAATCACAGAAAGAAAGAAAGAAAGAAAGAAAGAAAGAAAGAAAGAAAGAAAGAAAATAAGACTAATTAATTAAGGTTTCATTACGATCAGATGATTTCTGGGTGCACTTTATTTTTGAAGAATATAATAAATCAAACCTTGATGTTGTCTGTATGCAAGATGTTTGTCGACTTGATTGTGACTCCATTGCGTATTTGGGATACAATTTATTCTGGATGATTTTAAGGAGAAAATACAACATGGATTTGGAATTGCAATACACAAATCACTAGATGTTGCAACAAACAATATATTAAATCATTCAGAAAGACAGGTGACTGTCGACATTATTGTTTATGGCTGTCGGATCCAAGTTATATCAGCTTATGCCCAAACTGCTTTCGGGGAAAAACAGAAATTCGACACAAGATTCAGTAAAATTTTTATATTAGGATAAACAGAAAACTGCGCATTAATGAGGCTTTTAATGCTACCTGAAACATTTCTGAATGTCACGGTTCCTTTGGTAGAGAGAATACGTTAAACGTTGAAATGGAATTCTCAAACGTATAGAGAGAAATCTTGCCAAAATTCTGTTTCTCAAAATGTTACTCCACCCTATATATGAATTGATTTTCGTAGTTCTAATCTTTAAGAATTCAGGCGAACCTCTGGTCTTTCTATCTCTTGGCCTACTAGCCTTTTGCCTTTTTCTTTGGCAACGTAATAAAATCTCTAATTTTGAACTTGAATTTCATTTCGCATGTTCTTCTTTAAGATGATCAATATGGCTTTCTCTTATCTAGGTCAACTGCTGATATATTAACGATCATTGTTGAAAGTATCTACCAAGATTTAGATAAGAATTATGAAGTTGGTGCTGTTGCTATGGGTAACTCAAAAACATTTGGAACGGTTTTGTATATTGGTTCCCTTTTTGGTGTTTCTGGAGGAATTTTTAAACTAATTCGCTTTTTCTGATAAAATCATGGCCACCTTTCTCAAACATTTTACACTGCTGTCCTCCGAGTTTCTATTCTTGGATCTAAGTTGTTTCTAAATTTCATAAATGTCTCTGTTTTCCTCAGTTTTCAATCTGTGTTAATGACACAAATATTTACTCCCGTCTTAATAGTGATTCTGCTTGGTTCGAAAAGGTCAAATTTGCAGCTAATATAAAAAAATGTCTGTTCTTAAATGGGGCAAGGAATAGCTTGTTTATTTTAACGTCGCCAAAAAGAAACTACACACTTTTAATCTTCTGAAAGAACCATTTCTACCTTCTATCAGCATGCCTGGTTCTAACCTCATTGCTCCTTCTTGTGCCAACATTTTCCGATGATATGAAGTGAAAAGATTATATTGAATTAAAGAGTAGGTTTGCTTCTTGGAAAGTTCGTTCACTGTGACTTGCTAGACAATTTTATTTAACTATAATCTATTTTAAATATTTGTCGCATCTGGTCCTGTGCTCCTGCTATATATTTAAAGGTATTTGATAAAACCCAAAGAAGAAAAACAAGACCAGATGTGACAGCAATATTCAAAACAAAGACGAATGGTAAAATTATAAACTATTATCTGGGATTGGATTGAAAGCAGTGGTGTCACCTAACTTGAATCCATCATAAAAATGGAAAACAACTTTTATAAAGTGTTCTAAGAAATAGGACTCAAGATAAACCTTTCTAAAACAGATACTATGATCTGGGATTGAATTGAAAGCAGTGGTGTCACCTAACTTGAATCCATCAAAAAAATATCATCAAAACAATTAACATTAAAGTATTTATAGTAAAGGTACAGGGAAGCTACCTTACGGCGGCGAAAACGAGACTGAAGCCGAGATGCCAGGTCACGACCAAAAACATTGCAATTTTTTTTTCTCTGTTACGTAGATGTTATGAATTTACTCACAGTATTAGATTGGCGACAAGATCATATCATTTTACATTTGAAGTGTTTATGCCTGCAGTTTCTTCAATCGCACTTCTCACTTGTAGAAACATCGTCCGACTTCTTGCTTCCTCGTCAACTTTGATTTTTAAAAATTTAAATACCTTCCTAATTCTTGATCGTTTAGGGTTCTCTATCTTTAATATTTTCTCTTATTTAATATTTTCTCATATTCTCTAACACTCAATGCCTTTAGTGCCTTGCTTGATGTGAAATGATCTAAAAAGTATCAATCTTTATCCAGTTATTAAATGTCCATCCCAAACATAAACGATCAAGGAACTACTAATAGGGAAATTAAGAAAGCTATTAAAAAATTAATGAATAATCAAGCATCACACGACATTGAAGATGAACTTTTGAAAATAGCTTACTTTCTCCTCGAATTCAAAAGTTTCTTTTTTTTATGAAAGATGTCTGAAATAAGAACTGCCTAAAAAGTAGGGTTCATCATACAATCATAATTTATGCAAACATAAAAGTTGACATCGATACGGAAACATTTAAGACCACACCAGGTGTACAAGGAGGAAATGCGAACATAATATATTTATTCCCTTGCGAGACTATGCCCTAAGCACATACAAACATAGATGTGATGATATCAGTACATTTCATATCGCAACCCAAATAAGTCTACTACTAAAAGAATAAAAGCCTGCTTTCCCTCCCGAGATCAATGTAATGGTGATGAGTGGGAGGGGGCTATAGTGATGACAAACGCATTGTTGCAATAAGAATGATTGTAAAGTGATAATCAAAATCCTGTATGAAATGAGATTCAAGATAAATCTTTCCAAAACAGAAACTATGATCTGGAATTGGAATGAAAGCAGTAATGGCACCTACTTGAATCCATCATAAAAATGGAAAACATCCTCTATAAAGTGTTCTAAGAAATAGGACTCAAGATAAACCTTTCTAAAACAGATACTATGATCTGGGATTGGATTGAAAGTAGTGGTGTCACCTACCTTGAATCCATCATAAAAATGGAAAACATCCTCTATAAAGTGTTCTAAGAAATAGGACTCAAGATACACCTTTCTAAAACAGATACTATGATCTGTGATTGGATTGAAAGCAGCGATGTCACCTAACTTGAATCCATTATAAAAATTCAGGATGTGCAAATGGTAAATACTGAACGCTTTAGACACCCCGGTGTATGGAACGGTTATAAGAAATTAAGTAAAAGGACAAAGAAATTAAACATAGAGTTGGCTGGGCCAGAGTTAGTTGGGATCAACACCGCAAATTGATACATAGGAAAACATGAACCTGATAATTCGAAAATGAACTTAAATAACCCCATCAAATCGATACTTTCATTATGGATATCACGCATGGTGACAATCCCCTTCAGGAATATCTAAAGTCTCAGCTGTATACAATCACTTCCTAAGATCAAAAGGGAAAAAAAACCGTAAAGTAAAGCTTGAGAATCTTCGCAAAAAAACATCCCAATTGAACGTTAAGAACTGGGTCGACAGAATTACAAAAGACTTTACCAAATAACAGAAACCACATCGCTTGAGGACTACCACCATAAACAACAACTAAAATTGATAAGACACATAACTGGAAGAAAAAATATCAGCATTTCATACTACTTCAAATAAAAGGTTAGAAAGGAAACTCCCATTTTTAGTGGAGAGAGCGACAACAGCTACTGGACTTCAAAAACCTATTTTCGTGAATAAGGTTAGAAATGTAGTCTCTCTAAAAAGAGCGATTTACTGAACTTGAGAAACTATTTTCCTGAATTAAAGGTTCTATACTGAAATGTGCTGGAGAGAAACCTATTTTATTGAAACTTAGGAAGGTAGACTCCATCTATACTGTTTTTCGTGAAAAAGAGCGATAACATCTACTGAACTTGAGAAAACTATTTTCGTGAAAAGGTTAGGAAGGTAGCCTCCATCTATACTGGAAAGAGCTATAACAGCTGCTGGATTTGAGAAACCTATTTTCCTGAAAATTTTTTTGGAAAAGAGCTGAAACCGAACTTAGGAAAAGAAGGATAGTGACTCCATCTATACTGGAAAAGGTTAGGAAGGTGATCTATAGAAAGAGCTATAACAGCTGGACTTGAGAAACCTGTTTTCCATCTATACTGTGAAAATGGTTTTTCGTGAAAAGGTTAGGAATGTAGTCTCCATCTATACTAGAAAGAGTGATAACACCTACAGGACACGAGAAACCTATTTTCCTGAAAAGGTTAGGAAAATAGTCACCATCTATACTGGAAAGAACTATTACAGCTACCGGGCTTGAGAAACCTATTTTCCTGAAAAATTTAATTTTGGAAAGAGCGATAAAAGCTACTGAACTTGAGAAAACTT